CCCCCCCCCCTTCTCTCTTTTTTTCTCTATGGCTTTTGTTTCGTTGATTTCTTTCACGTGAAAAGGAGAGATGATTACTCCCAAGAGTCAATCTTCATAGTGCCCTTTTCGGCCAGGTTCTTGTGCATATTGAATGCCTGGAAAAGCAGGTGAGGCTCATGACCCATGCCCTTCTTCAAGCACTCAAACTCGGCCCGATCAAAATAGTCTTGCAGGATGGGCTTGTAGTCTGGGTGCGAGCACTTGTCGATGATGACACGTGCGCGTTCGCGAGGAGACAGACCACGCACATCAGCAAGACCCTGCTCGGTAACCACGACATCCAGGTCGTGCTCGGTCTGGTCGACGTGTGTACACATCGGTACAATGCAGCTGACTCCCGTAGGATCCGTCTTGCTGGGCCGAGTGCTCGGCGTGTGCATAATACTGTATTTGGCGCTGCGAAGGAAATCCGCCGATCCGCCCAGACCGTTAAGCATGCGCGATCCCATGACGCAAGTGCTGTTTGCGTGCGCGTAGATGTCCACTTCGACAGGCGTGTTCATGCCAATAACACCCAGTCGCCGGATGATTTCGGGGGAGTTGGACACCTGCTGCGAACGCAGAAGCAATTTGGGGGAGTATTTCTCCCAGCCGTCGTAGAATCGCTTGAATCCGTCGGGAGAGAATCGAATCGACGTAGCGGTAGCAAAGTCCAGGTGACCGCTATCAAACAGGTCCAAGAACGAATCCTGGAGCACTTCGGTCCACACCTTCAGGTTGCGGAAATTTGCGCCATGGCTCAAGCCACCAATGACGGCATTGGCAATGTTGCCGATACCAGACTGGATGGGCAGCAAGCTCTCGGGGAGACGGCCCCTCGAGACCTCGTGTTTCAGGAATTCAATCAGGTTGCGCGCAATGGCACGGGATGACTCGTCTTCCGGCGCATTAGGCTGCGTGGCGTCGGGGTAGTCCGATTCGACAATAGCAACGACCTTCTCGGGATCGACGGGGATATGGGGTGTACCGATGCGGTCCTCCGGAGACAGAATCAAGTATGGTTTCCTTCTGGGTGGAAGATCGGAAAGGGAGATATCGTGCAAGCCTTCGAAGGAAGGTGTCGCGGTGTTGACTTCGATAATAATCTTGTCGGCCATCTGGACCAGCTCCGGAGACGCGCCGACGGAGGCACCGGGAATAATACCGCCATCCTCGGTGATGGCAGTGGCTTCGATAACGGTCACGTCAAGCCTGTTATGAGGTCGCTCCTTGGTATACCAACCCTACTCGTTGTTAGCAATGATACGAACTGGCCGTGCTACCAAAAAAAAGGAAAGCGAAGAAAACCGACATAGACAAGATCTGACGGAAACATGCTAAGATGCTTATCGAAGAAGTTGATGTTTCCATTGTTGATTCCCTTGGCGATTTCCTTTCCAACCTGGTGAGGGCTCCGACGGTCGATCATATTGAGGCGTGCCCATCTATTCTCGGTCTCGGCGCCAGACGAGGCACCCACAAAGAGGCTGTATTTGAGTTGACCTTGCAGGTTATTCTTCTCAACATGGTCTGCCAAAGCAGTGGGCACTTTCCTGCGGATTCGGAATTATGCATTAATTATATATATCGCAACCAGCAGCAGGAGAAAAGGATAAAATAAACGCACTTTGGATATCCCACACCGGTAAAACCAGACCAGCCAATATATGATCCGTGAGGAAACAAATCTATCAGATCCTCTGCTTTGGCCAGCTTGCTCAGATATGAAGGCCGGCGAACGCGGCTCTTCAGCATAGCTGAGGCAGCCATTGTGAATGCAGAGATAATATTTCAATAGTAGGATAGAATTGAATCAAATATTCTCGAATACGCAGATGAAAAAAAAAGACCGTACAGGTCGTCGCGAAATAAATAAAGGGTCAGAGAATTAAAAAAAAAAAAAAGGAAGGCCAGAGCCGACAATCGGTGCGGAGACAAAAACAAGCTCGCCGGGTATTTGCGAACTACGTATAATGTAAATAAGTGTCAACCTTGGCCCTTTGAGCAGTCAATAAGTAAAGACCGTTGACCACACCCAGGGAAGAGAGGAGAGGAGAGCAGAGAGATTATCGCAAGAGATGGAAAGAGGAAGGAAGGGAGGAAGGGAGAAAAGGAAGTTTTATGTAAACGTCAAGAAATGGTAAGATACTTCTTACCATACGCTTACAGCCAGCTCTAAGTGGCAGCGGGCCAATCAAAGCCCCCACATGTGCTTGATAAGGCAGTTTTTCACTTTATCTTTCTTAGATGTGCTCACATGTATCTCACACGAATTCACTGGTGTATATAATATGTATATATATATAATGTAGCCCGATTGTAGTCACCTACTTGCATTATTGCCGCATATGTCCTTAAGCATGGCAGCATCAGCCTACAATCGCGGCAAAATCAAGAAAGGAGCTCACGCCACCTGCCGAGTCAGTGACGTATTTCCATTATATCAGTATCAGGAAGCCTAATTCTAGTGTGCTTTTTCCCCCACTGGGTGATTGCGTACAAAGCAAGAGAGGAAAACACATAATGAGTCGGGCCAGATAGGTTGATAGTATATTATCAGCAATAAAACAAAGATATCAACATATCAAGAATACCACCGCCAAAGAGACAAAGCAGCAAGGCAAAATTACACGGTTACAATACGATACATGCAGAATCGGCTATGCTTCCGGCTACAGCTCGGGCCGCCGGAGCTACGCTTATCTTATCGTGGTACCTGCAGTTTGCATCGTTTGTTTGGTCTTTATCCATCGTCATACATTTAATAGTTCACAAGTTACGATCGATGTTCAAAGGGTGAAGACAGAAAAGAAATCAATCTCGTATTGCTTTGCTTTGCTTGTTTCCTTACATCCCACAATGATCCTTGCCTTTCCTTTCCACGCCATCATCCATAACTCGCTCCCCTCCCTCCCATATGTGTAAATGTTTGACGCGTATGTTCAGTCAACATTTGAAAAAAGAGATGTTGAAATTCTGGTCGTCAACCATGATTAGAAGAGTAAGAAGGAAAAAAAGAGAAGAAAAAGAAGAAAAAAAAAATTAGACGCCATTCAGATGTAAACCAACGCCACGGACCACCATTGTATTGCCTGACACAGAAAACCCTTAGAAAAGAATCAAGAATCATCTACATACTCCGTAAGAGAGAGAGCGCACACTACTCTTCTTCCGTCTTAGTGGTTTCGGGCTCGGCATCCACCATATCGGTATCCTCCTTGTCCTTGTCCTGGGCTGTGGCGGGTTCAGCAGAAGGGGCCTTAGCTTGAGCTTCAGCATCACCAATAGTAGAAGTAGCGGTAATGGTGTTCTCGACATCTGGAGCATTGGGTTCTTTGACCCATGTCCGGAACTTCTGATTCAATTCATCAACTTCGTCTTTGCTGAGACCGTGAGCCCAGCTGGGGTTATTGACAAACTTCTCCCGGAAACGGTCACGGCGTCGCTCTTTGACGGCGGTCAACTCCTTCACATTCTCTTCCGCGTCTTCTTCGTTGGATGCTGTCGGTCGCCACCACCAGTCGTAACTACCAGGCTCATATAGAATGTGGTAGCTGTTTGCGCAGATACGGATAATAAGACCGTCGTGGTGAACCAAGCGACGATAGAAGCGGTTGTACTCCTCGTCCTGCTCCAGCTTCGATGGCAGGTTGCGCTTGAGGAAAGGCATCCGCATCTGGGAGAATGGTACGCCTTCAGTCGGATCACGCATGGTGTAAGCCGAAACATAGTACGACCAGCGAGCCTCTTGGCTTAACTCCTCGTTTTCAAACGTGCTATCTTCCGCCGTCAACAGTTGCACATACGTCTTGTGAGTGGTAGGATTCTATTTCCTATTAGCATGCTTTCAATATTTAGAAGGCGGAGAGGGAAACATACAAAAGTAATGCGGTAAATGTCACCATCCTTAACCAGGCGTTCTACTTGCTTCCGGTATTGAATCTCCTGGTTATGCGTAGTCTCCTCTCGGTCTCGCTCCTTGAAGAACAGATTGATAATATCCGCGCTACGGTCCTTGGGATCGCCGTTGAAGATATTACTAGCGAATCGCGCAATGCCAGTAAAGATCTTATCAAGGTTGTACAGCTGGTAGCCGCTCTTCAAGTAAAAGCGACGCAACGTCTCTTCAAGGTGCGTGGCCTCGAGATCACCCTTGATGACTTCGTCACACATGCGGACAACTTGTTGATACAGGTTGGCGCTTGGACTAGTGTCGTAGAAGAAATCGGTGGGAAGCTTGTCAGTCAATCCAAGTTCCCGGGCAGCTTTTGGCAGGAGTTGGCGTCGCACATCCTCGTGTGCTTCCTTCTCATGCAGCTTCACTCTCAGCAGGCGACTGTACAGGATCTCAAAGGAGCGGAAGAAGCAGTAAATGTTCAAATTGCTGTAAAGATGATGCAACTTCTTCTCGTATGCCTGATTCAAGTTGTACTCACGATGAAGGTTGAAATTGCCCTGGTTCGGGTGCTCCATCCACTTCAGCTCAGCGACATCAAACGGCTCTGTGGGATCCGGTATCGGAGTTGACGGCACAAGAATGGCATCTGGCGTTGCATCACGGCTCGCTACGTTGCCACCAGCTGCACCCTTTTCATTACGGCGCTCGAGAACATCACGAAGAAGATCCAACTTCTTGGCTGTGGCGACACGGCGGTTGTGAACAGTAGAGGCCGAATCAGCCGGAATACCATCATCATCCGTCTCATCTGTAGGCGTGCCATTCGACACCTCATTCATGTAAATATGGAAAGTGTCGCGATCCATACCAAAGAAAATGGGTATGAAGTCATTTATAAAAGCAGTCACTCTATTAGGGTCCTGACCAAAGCCACCTGAGTTGCGGTCGATGAACGTCACGAGTAACTGAGCGGCGTCGATAATAACAGCAGGATCAGTAAACTCAAACTCGAACTGATGCAGTGGTAGCTGGTAGCCGCTCTTGCGGATGTTTCTCCCTTCCTCATACTTTGCCTGAATCTCGTTGTGGATGTTCTTGGACGAAAAGAGCTTCTTGTCCATCCCCTTGTTCGTGATGGATTGGTGATCCAGACTGCGCCAGAAGCATCGTTGCATCTGCTCACGCCAGACTTTGTCCCATTCGCGTTGGCTGGCCTTCCATTCCTCGCACTTTTGCTTCAGGCGATAGAGCAAAACTGGAAGCACATGGCAGGGACGCTCAAACATCTGCTGAATGATGATTTCTCCGCGCTGGCGATCATACACTTTCTTGATAACCCGCTTATAGATAGACTCGCTCTGTCCACCAAGGCCAGGTGGGAGTACAAACGCAGCACGCTCCGCTTCAGACATAACAAGGAACTGCTGCACAATGGGCTCGATGAGTTGGATTGTTCGCACACAGGCCTCGATGTGGTTGTCGTAATCGTGGCGATCTTCTTCGATACGATGAAGGGCATCTTCAAACTGGTTCTTGCGATGAGCCACAAAGCCAGAGTCTTCGGATTCCCATGTTGGGTGAGAGGCCCAGTCGTCGTTGAGGACACTGCGACACAACTCGTCACGACCACTGCACGGTTTCTGTCGTTCACGTTTTGGCAGCAGACGATAGCTTGGCCCAAGTGCCCTGCAGTGGGCAAGGTTCACTAGACCGGACTCCTGCTTCGGTTTCAAATCAATAACACGATCCTCTGGATCTTCGATGTGCATGAAGCGCTTGAACCAGGACATAAGTTCTGGGTTGGACCCGATAAAGCCTGCAGCCCTCTTGACCAGCACATTTCGATCGATGAGGTCCGTAGAGTAAAGGTTGCAGAGCTTGAGGAACTCGCCAAAGGTCTGCTTGTTGCCGATAAACTTCTTGACGCGATCGAAGAACGCAAACTCGTCGTTGTTGGGCATGATGGAAAACGTTGGTGGGATGGGCTCTGGAAGAGCAGGGACCAACGTGGGAGAAACAACTGGGCCATCAGCTGCCATCGGCTTGTTATGATGCAGTTTCGTCCTCTAAAGAAGACATTAGCAGTGAGAAACCCTTGCTCATCGTTTTTCCCCCTCGTTTTACAAAGACAGCTTACCTTGTTTATTCCGGGAGCTTGGACGCTGCCAGCACGATTTGATTGTATGTCACCCATTCTTGAAGCGTCTGCAGCAGATGCAGCAACGGGGCCACCAAGACCGCCGCCGCTGATTGGGCCACCGCGTCGTTTCTTGGTTTCTTTGTTTGAGTCTTTAACATTAAACTGCCCCATAGGCGGCATCTTGACGTCGCGACCAGGTATCTGTGATTGACCAGCTGGACCAGATCCTGGATACGGGGGCTCCCCTCGCAGGTTACTAGTTGGGGCAGCCTCGTCAACAGATGGGCGACCTGCCTGGGCTTGCTGTTTGGCCTGAGCGGCAGAATCAGGGAGGAATTGCTTGAAATCTTCTAGGAGATCAGGAGCGGTGTGGAAAAGCTGGGTAACCTGGGCATAAACGTCCTGGATTGGCTTCGACTCCCGCTGGTAGGTTTGTAAAATTTCCAGGAATTGCTTATAAATTTCCGGGGCACTTGCAAATCGATTCTGCAAGAAACCACACACGTGAGTACAACAACTTATCTAAACAGAAGATGATATAACTCACTTTTATCTTATTAACATAACTGATGGCGTGATTGAATTCAACAGGACCCCGCTTGTTCAGGTCTGCCTGCGAGCCTTGAAGGACACCAGAACCGATGCCAGCCAAGCTATTCATAGGTCCAGGTCCTGATGCTGTGCCAGTGGATGGTTGCAATAGCGAAGCTCTACCAGCTGCAGCAGTTACAGCTGCAGCACTCTGCAACTGAGAAACGCCACGTTGTTCCTGCTGGTGAAGTGCAGCTGCAGAAGCTTGTTGCTCCTGTTGGTTCTGGTACTCGTAGTGATGTTCTTGGGCCTGAGGCTGGCCACCTTGCTGACCATACAGACCGCCACTCATTACACGGCTATTGGGAGAATAAGAGCCGGCAATGCCCGACTGAGGTGGATGCTGTGGTTGCTGCCAGCCAGTCCGCGAGTGATCATAATAATCAGAGCGTCCTGGAGGCGCAAGTGATGCTGAAGCTTGGCCCATCTCCTCCGCAGAGTCAAGCGATGGCCGAGTGGGCCTCGCCGCCATCGACAGGGTATTAGTGCCTGAGGGCGTCGTGACGCGGATAGCATTGGGGTTGTCGTCCGTTCCGCATTCAATACGATATCCTGGTGGTAGGAAGGTGTTGAATCCTTGAATTAACGCCGGGTGTCCGGTGAAGAGATTCGAAACCCGCTGAATAACGCCGGGGGTATCAATTCTATGACTGGTCAGTGTGCTTCCTGGATTAGTCTGAACAAGGATTCCTAACGCTTGACTCTTGAAGTCCTTCATAATATCCAGAAACCGATTGTAAACATCGGGTTGCTCAACAAAGCGAACTTTGACCTGATCAAGATAACTCAATGCATCCTATCCAACACAGTATGGTCAGATCCATTTCCTTTCCCTCTACGATGCTATCCATCAAGTTCGTGGATTCGCTACTCACATTCAAAATAGGTTGCTGACCCTGTGCCAAAGCCGCAACATTTCCAGGTATCTGAGCAGGGCCCGCACCATTATACCCCATCATCGGTTGCGACGGAGGTGCTTGAGGATGCTGCATATACGGACGAGGGGCGTTATCTTGGTGAGATGGTATCTGGGCCCCAAACAGACTTGCAGATTGCAAGGAGCTCTGTGGAGGGTTTGCGGCTGCACCACCGCCGCCGCCACCAATGGTCGAAAGCAACCCATTTGGTCCGTGAATTGAATTTGGCACCTTGGAAGCTACTGGCTGATGGATGGGGATTGCACCGGTGTGGCTCTGCACGGTGTGTTGTTCGCGCTGTTGACGCTCCAGATGTTCCCTTTCTCGTTCACGTTGCTCGCGCTCTCGATGTACTACCATACCCTCGTGTCGCTGCCTTTCGAGCATTTCGCGCTCTCTGGAATCTCGCTCGCGATCGCGATTGAGTTGGGGGGAAGGGTGCTGCATTGCCTGACCGATGCCCGGCAAAGAATGCCCTCCACCATGAGCAGGTTGAGTATGTTGTCCGTATGGAGGCGGCTGATGTGGCCCACCAGGGCCCTGTGCTAGATCTGCGAGGCCAGGTAGCGAATGTCCAGGCGGCTGATTAACGGGGTGGTAAGGTCCTGGACCAAGACATCCAAGTCAGCCAGGTCCAACAATGCTCTCAACAATATCCGATCCATTTCTTCCAGGGAAGTCGGCACTTACCGGCTGGGGGAGGTAGGACAGGGCCAGCTTGTTGTGTAGAGGGATTTTGCTGGGAAGGATTTTGCCTATTGATGAGACACAAGTCAGTCAGACACGATCAGTTTCAAAAAAAAAATGCATGATCCAACAACGAATGAATGTAGCAGTATTTAAATAGCTTATCAAGGAGAAACAAGAACTTACCCATAAGAGCCTAGAGCACGAGACTGTTCCATATTTGTATGTGAGGGAGGGCCACCTCCTCCTGGTGCTGAAGAGTGCCAACCGTCGTTCCCAGAGGGATTCATGCTATTACAAGGCGCACAATTTGCAAGGTGAAAAAGCAAATAAACAACCACCAAAAATCGTCACAGACCCCAGTCCAGTCAGGCCCCAAGTAACAATCTGTCTGTATCTCAGGCGAAGAGAGGGGGGAGAGGGAGGGGGAAGAAAGAGAGAAAAGCTTTAGAAGAAACAACGAGTTTGGACTAAGAGAGATCTGCCACCAACATGGCTACTCTCTCCGCGCAAAGGAAAAAAAATGTGTGGAATAAAGAAGAGGAAAACAACAAGCACTTATGCACTTGTGTAGAGGGGAAAAAAAAAAAAGGCAGATGCACTGTTCAAAAGAGCCCAACACTGATACACAGCAAGACTCCTGGCGGTGCAGATCACAAAACAACAAAGTCGGGGATGCGACAAAAGCTCGCAGGCAAGCATCATGGGGGCTCACCTTCCCAGCGCGCGACTCCGGCGGGCGGTGGAAAGCGGCAGTATCAGCCTATTCTGTTTCGGGCAAAATGCCGTTCGGCTCGGGCCCGGGTTTATGTGCCTCCGGGCTGGACGTCATGTGTTTTTGCTGATTGGCTGGGCGGCTTTTTGGGGGGCGGGGGGGGGCTTCTTGGCCCTGATGACGTCTTCCATCGGCTGAGGTTGGTTTATAGCTAGCTACATCTGTCATCTACGCATCTAATGTAAAGCTGGGCGTCAGATAATTCATTTCGCGTTGATATTAGCTGGGGAATACTACATGTTTGAATAGAGGATTGGGGGAGAGGATATCCCCAACGCGATGTGATGAAGAAGGAAGCTTAGTTCAAGACTCGCTCCGCAATCGGACAGAATACCCATAAACAGACGAAATAAAACCAAGTCATCTAGCATTGAAACGGGAGACTTTTCTACTAGCTGTTTACATAATAAGAGTTCCATGGCTGTAGATATCGTCAACTTCCACCCCCTCGTCCAATCCAGTCCACCGAGATACCAGGACATAATAGTACGTAGTAAAGAGATGTAAAAGAGGACTGTGCCCGAAACTCTCATTATCGTCGTTCCGTTCTTACAATGCCGAGAAAACAAATAGCTGTTGTTGGATGTTAATATATGAGCAGAAGAGATGGAAAGACAAGTCACTCACGTTGTTCGTGGCAGCAATGGCAATGCTGTCCTCGAACGGATGCCAGCTCATGTGAAGAATCTTCTTATTAAAATCAATCTGATCTGCGTCTGTCTCCTTCCTCATGCGGGATCCCGCTCCAGCTGGGCTGTTGGCTCTCGATCCGTTCTTCTTCCCGTTCTTATTAATAGGCGTAGGCACGCCAACCTTCTTCGCTTTGAAAGCTGATTTGTCCGCCTGCAGCACGACCTCTGTCTCCTTGTTTGGATCGGTGGGGTAGATCATGAAATTGTTGTTGTAACTGCCCGTCATCACATTCTCCGCGTCGCCAGAGAACACCACTTCAAATTTATCGAATATGCTATCGTTCTCATATGTGTCGCAGAGCCGCGGTCGGAGGTGTTCGTGGATGGGGATTGTCTTGACGGGCTGGCGTTCCATATTAACGTCCCAGATTTTCACCGTTAGATAGTCGCGAGAGAGGATGTAGCGGCCGTCGTTGGAAAATCGCACGTCTGAAATGGAGGAAATGATTTCGGAGAAAAACGATCGTGACGAGGCGTCTTCCTCTTGCTCGAACTCTGCTCGACTGTGTCAGTACCATTTGAAAGTGTTTTAACACAAGAAGGAATTGCCCACGTTTGGAGTGCTCATCACAGAGAGCCCGTTGTCTCATATCAGCCATTTTGATCGTTCCCTTTGAACTGGCATACATGAAAAAATTGCAGCTGGTGGGGTGGAATTCCGAGGCCGTTATAACTTCGGTCAACTCCTCCATGTTGGCTGGCTTGATATCCACAATGTTGAAGCTCTGATCTTGAATATTGAGGTTCCATAGATTGATTCGAAGATCGTCACTGCTGATAAAAGTCTCGCCATCACTGTTCACTGAAATACTGTTTATATGATAGGCGTGTGCATTGGCATATGTCCTTCGCGGCACGGCGGCGACAACAGTGTCGTGGTGTGTCATTCGCGGCAGCTTCAACGCAGATGCATCTTTGAACGAGATGTGTGGAGGCCGAGCGGCGCCACCACCCAGCACGCCAGCCGGCGTGAGATCATGCGACAAATTATTTTCGGCGACGACCTTCAAGGACTTGTCAAAAACTTTCCATAGCTTTATCGTTTTATCGTTCGTGGATAAAAGGAAATGAGACGCATTCTGTCGTTTGCACCACTTGATCTTGTTGATCTTCTCTTCGATCTCCAGGGATTTGAGGTAGTCGAACTCGGGCTCGTGAGATTGAAATTCGGTGTGGAACTTGTATTCACATGTTTTTTTCTGCGTAGAACCAAGTCAGTTGGGCTACACCGAGCTAAATGAGCGGGCAGGCCCTTCTTACCGTTTCATTCCTCTCGAACAACACTACTCGGCCGCCCTTATCTCCTGTAGCCAAGTAGTTCCCTGTGTGGTCGAACTCAACTGTCGAAATGATATCCGCTGCAAAAGTTGGGCGTTAGCATCGACAGCAAGGAGGCATGCATAGATAAGAATTCGAACTCACCTTCTGTGATATCTTCTACATCGCCCTTATCTCCAAAACATCTACACGCGGAATGTCAGTTTCACCACTACATCCTCCAACGCGCGTTGCCGGTCTTGCTTTCCCCCAAACTCATCACATCTGACAAGACTTACTGTGTGAACTTCCAGGTGGGTGACCCTGGATCTCCGTCTACCATCTTTCAAGATACAAGTCGTGTGTCCAGGGAGTAAAGCGATCGAGCAAAAAAAAAAAAAAAGAAGAAGAAGAACAAAAAACAAGGAAAAAGGAAAAAGGGCAAAGCAAAAGCACGGAATAAGAAATATCCAAAGCGGCGGGAGAGAGCAGAGCAGAGCAGTTTTTGCGGATGGCACACTTTGTCTAGCTGTAGAGATACTAGAAAATCGTTAGCATATCATGTGTTTTGTTATTAATGAATGGACCGAAAACAAGTGCTACAGGCGAGAAAGTGGCGAATAGTGCAACAACGGGATACCGTTTGCAAGAGACATGAAAATAGTTCTTTGACAGACACAAAAGGCAGAAAATGGTTAACCACGGACTAGATAAAAGCTTAAACGACTGAGTACAATGAACAAATGCGACGATATGCTGCGTGGATGCGAGAAGTAGTGGGATCGCTGAAAAAAAGGGCACGCATCAAGGTTGGACGAAAAGGGTAAGTTTAAACTTTTTTTTTCTCTTCCTTCGACTGACCTAACAGGGTAGTAATTAAATTTTCCAGGCCGAAGGACGAGAGCCTAGTAATCGGCGAGTAGTTAGGTGTAAAGAACGGGGTGGGAATGCCCTTCAGTTGAGTGCAGTAAGTCAAGGATGCTGGCGATATGAGGGAACAGGCGGGGAAGCAGAATAAAACGATCGGTCCCCAAGAGCTGTGCCAGTACGTAGTCCGGGGCCTCGCAGGGATGGAGAGGCAGAAGAAAGAAGAGGCGAGATGGAAGAGAAAAAAAAACAAGAGGAGAGGGTGAACAAGATGGGAATTGGGAGCAGCTACTCAGATAAACCGGAGGATAGAGTAGGTGAGTTGAAGGAGTTGCTGTCGTTGGTGGAGGAGGAAGTTCCAACCAGGTTGGGTTGCGTCGCTTTGGTTGTTGTTGCGGCGGCTGCGGCAGCCATGATTAGTCGCCTGATCGCTAAGGCTGGCCGTGCTGTGGGGCGTCTATCGATGAGCTCAGCTAGCTATACATAAATAACTACAACCAACACTCAAGATATACCATCCCATTGATATCTAGCGGAGATATGAGGAACTGCTAATAATGGCCTGGCAAGAGATATTCCAGTCTGGTCTCTGTTGGCCAACTACTACGATGCAGGCTACGGTATCTGCAAGATGGCGACAGGGTCCTTTCGCTGCATCCGGAGCAAAGCGACAAGATCTTTTACATCAACGCTCTAGCTAGGCATGGCATGTCTGGACTTCTATTGGGCGAAGCTACAATGGCCCTGCTATGTCGTGGTAGTAGTACCAATGTCCTACAATGCTCTCTACCTAGGTACACATGGACTAATGAATACGCAATACATGTAATATCCATCCATGGATGTGCTCAGACAATGCGGAGTAACAGTTATAGTGTCCTATCTAAGAGTGCACAAGAAGTTATTGATCAATTTATTATGCCCAGAACGAATCGATTAATCGATTGTATGAGCTGTCATGAAGATGGGCATTGTATCCGACCCAAGTTACATATGTTCAGCCATTCTAGCCGAGGAACTTGCGATCAGGCCGATTTATATTCGACGCGATAACTGCTTTATATTATTGCATAAATACAGCAGAAGAACTAATTAATTATTACTTACCGACAAGTATACAACAAAATGCCACCCAAACGCAACGACCAGAAGAATAATACATCGGACCACAACCACTCATCAGTCGATGCATCCAACGCCACCAACAAAAACAGCAAACATGCAAATCCAAACGAAAATAATAACGCAGAACCATCTCTATGGTCCAAAATACAATCGTCTGCATCTACGCTCATCCAAGACACAGTATCACGGCCAAGCGGCGCTGTACTCGGAGCCGATCTGGCGCAGATACTGAATGAAAGTAGCCATGGGAAAGCTGGCTACTCTTCTTTGTCATCGTCGTCGTCGTCGTCATCATCATTTTCAGGACTTTCTCACGCCGTGAATAGCAGCGGAGCATGGTCCTCAACTCCATCCTACTCCGACAAGGCAGGGGCAGGCACTGAGAGCGGGAACAGGTTTCGCTCTGCTACGACAATACCTGCTCAGGACTTATCATTCAAGGATTCATTTCAGTACAGTCATACCGACTATGAAGACTACTCACAGCAAAAAGGCAAAGGCAAGAGCAAACAATACGTCGCCGAAGCCGAAACGCAATTATACAATATGATGAACACGCACCATTTCAACGACTACGAAATGGCATGGATCAACGCAACTCGATCAGATGGCATACTACCAACAACATCACCATCATCATCATCAACAACAACAACAACAGTGACAACGGCCAACACTCCACAAGACCCGTTCAATCAAACACAAGTAAATGACAGCAAAGAACAAGACGGCGCAGCAGTCGTATCCCTACTCTCCGACCCCTCTTTCCAACCGGGACTCGTCGACAACTCCCATTTCAACGATGCATGGGACAATGACGCGGCAGATGCCGACGGATTTCCGACAACAACAATAACAACACGGCCACAATTAATGACAACACTAAGCGCAGACGAAAAGCGGATAATCGATTCGTTCCGTCGGCAATCCGAGCTCGAACGGAGCGGGTCCACTGGTAGGATTACATCTAGGAGTTTGATACCTGGTATCGATACGTTTCTTGCGACTTCCTCGTACTCGTACGGCATGGGGGAGCAGGAGGATGATAGGAATGGCAATTCGGCGCTGCGAGAGGCGGTCTTGTCTTATTTACCGGGTGCTGAGGATTGGGTGGGTGTTGAGGAGCGGTATCATGATGAAGTATGGGGGTATCTGAGGCCGGTGATGGAAGATGCGGCGAGGGAGCTGGAGGAGAGGAAGGACGATGGTGGTGGTGATTCCACCAGAGGTAGAGATGGGCCGGCTGTCCAGAGGTTGAAGATGATTTTGAGGCATATGCGCGGGGGGGTTGATTGATAAACACACCTAGGTATTGAGGAATATGATGAAACTAAATAAATATACACAATTCATCACATAGCTAGCTAACTCCATATCCATCATTACACACGAAGGGAAAACAAAAAATGCGTCAAAGAGTGACCCTTGACACCACTAAAACATACACAAAAACATCTAACAATGTCGTTGGGATGGTTGCTCTGTTGGCTTTATATGAGACTTTTATACTATTTAATATTCAAGACGGACTTCCTGTCCCTTGACACGGCCAATAACGATGTTGGCTGCATATTTGGGAATGACTTCGTCGTCATGAAGCATTTCGAATTCTAAAATTTCGTTAGTAAACAGCCTTTCTTTATTCTAAAAGGGGGAGGTGAAGAAAAAAAAAAAATCGGAGATTGAAACTCACCCTCTGAAGCATCACGGCCCATGTGGCTGAACAAGGCCGGAGCACCACCAGGATGCTCATCTAACCAGTTGGTGACGTCCAAGACAACACCCTTGACAGCAATCCACAAGTCATCCTTCTTATTGTGTTTAGCAACCTCTTCCAGTGTGAATTCCTTCTCTGGAATCTTAAACTCAGAAACATCCGCTGCTGCTGGTGAGGCCGACTTAGCCGGAGCTGCTGGCGCAGGAGTTGCCGCTGCTGTAGCAGTAGGCGCTTCCACGCGAGTAGAGGCAGGGTCCTTGCCTTCAGAGCCGCTCCATTCAACAGAGATCTTTCCTGGAGTAGATGGGTCAATGTGCAAAGAAATCTGGCCGAGACGCTGTTGAGCAGCAGAAGCACCGCCCGTGAGCACCTTCTGGAAGAGGTACTGGCTGGCACTGTCACCGGCAACACGTCCGTAGACAACGCAACCGAGAAGAGACGAACCACCCAAACGATTAGCACCGTGGACACCTCCAGCCAACTCACCACAGGCATAGAGACCTTCGAATGGCTCCTTCTGACCGTTCAGCACCTGGGCCTTGTCGTTGATCTCAATACCTCCCATGGTAAAGTGGAGGACCGGCTCCATTAAGGCAACGTGGAAGGTATCGTCAATGCTGAAGGGAAGGTTATGGAAGTATTTCTTGCCCCAAGGGTCCTTCTTCTTGCCCTCAGCAATGAGGTTGTAGTCGTCGAAAGTCTTCTTCAGAGCAGCCTCGCCACAGCCAATCTCCTTGGCCAGCTCCTTGCCGGTGATCTTCTTCATCAGACCACGGCCAGAGTAGTGGCGGGTATGGAAATCGAGAACATTGGAGGCCTTGCTATTGAGAACCAAGCGGATGGGCCACTTGCCCTTCTCTTTCTCCTTCCACATCTGACCTGACACGTAGTCACGGTGACCCAGCTCATCGGAGAAACGCTCACCATTGGAGTTCAGCAAAAGACCACCCTCACCACGCAAGGCCTCAGCAGCCAGGAACTTCCACTTGGAGGTGGGATCTTTCGGGTCAATAAGACCAGTTGGGTGGACCTGGACTTTGTCCATGTCGATGCCGTTGGCGCCAATAGCCATCAGCATCTTCTGACCGTCACCAGTAGCGTGAGTTCCGTTGGTGCTGGACAATCCGAAGGTGTCGGGGCGGTGTTTCTTCAAGAGCGAGTCTTCGGTGAAATCGGCGGCGTATCCACCAGTGGCCAGAACGACAACACCGTCGGCAGTATGAGTTTCGCCGTTGTATTCATATGTAACACCGGTAACGTGGTTACCCTCCTTGTTGACAGATATGACGCGCGCCTTCTTGATGACCTGAACCCGCTCAGGTTCGGCCTCGGTCAATTCTTCTAACCGCTGCATGAGCGCATATGTGATGGCCATGCCGGGGAATTTGGCGTCATGTCCACGGTGGGTACGAGGGAAGGAGTGGCCTCTAGAGTAAGATCAAACTTAGAAAATATCCGTCCATAACTCGTCATGCACGGCAACACACTTACCCGAGTCGCGAAACCAGAGTAAGGTCGAGGTTGAAGACATCCTGCAGCCACTCGACGGCCGCAGCAGACTTGTAGGTCAAGACCTTGATTAGATCGGGGCGAGCCTTGTCGCGGGCAGATTTGAGGGTATCTTCATAAAATTGCTTGACGCTGTCTTGGATACCAAGATCGATCTGTGTTCGGGTGAGAGCACCGTTAATGCCGGAGGTAGCCTTGGTGGAGTTGCCACCGAAGAAACCTGGTAGAACAACGATGTTGGCATCTTTCTATCAAAGCTTGCACACTTGTACTTACTCTGCTTGTCCAAAACAAGGACATTGCCACCGTTCAAGTAGACGGTGTGGGCGGCACTCAGGCCGGACACTGCGTGGGAAAACCAGCGAGTCAGCGGATCGTCTTGCGGGGGACGGAAAATCTGGGGAAAGGCTTACATCCACCACCAACGACGATGACCCTAGGAGCCATGACTGCTATATATGGATGCGGGAGGGAAGCAATGCGTGATATAATCGCGAGACAGAGATAGAGAGAAGTAGCTGGAGAGGGATAGAGGACGGGGGAGGACAAGGACGGAGAGCAGAAGAAATAAGGCGGCAGGCTCGCCGGTTACTCGGCCGAGGTAACAACGCGGCAAACAGACCGACCTTTCTCACGTGGGGGGGAGGGCTGGACTGTGCATTTATTTCTTTCTTATTTCATTATTTATTCCAAGTCATTATTGATTGTTCTCGCTCAGGCTCAATACGATACTGCATAACATCACATGTAAAAGACACAGATAGACCATAGCTCCAGCTGCTGCCAAAGCAAATGCTCGCTTTCACATGCAAACTATATCGTCGACGTCACCAGCCAGCAGCTCTACAACGCTGAACAGTAGGTAGCTAGCTAGCTATATAACCATCGTCCCCATCCAATCTCCGCAAACTCAATCCTCAGCTCTTGATCTTATATTTTCCAATGTACGGGGTTGATTAGGTAGCCGTCGGCTGCACCTATTTTATTACTCTTATTTAAGCAGCAATAGCTGCATCCTGACTGGCTCCGCGGGCCCACATGCCTCGGCTGGAGCTATAGCGAGGCATTCTCTGAGACCGAACCCATCTAGACTCTACATACACTACAGATGCGGGATCGCTGGGCATCTCGTTAGGGATGGACGGCGTGCAGTGAAATGCTGGACTGAAGGTGATAATCATCGAGCTGAATTTTTGTGTGGAAAATGTGGATTGTCAGGCGTAATTGTAGTCGGCTATTGGATCCTCTCGACATTGGAAATGAAAGCAGAAGCAGCACTAGGAACATGGATCCATAGTATGGAGCTTTGTTTTGGCATGCCTATCTTATAGAGCCAGGGATCAAGTCTTCATTAATGGGAGATTTTTAGCTTGCTTGCGCTGACACTTTGTTGATATCTATGGGAACTCGGAGTGTATTCAGTGCACCATCTGAGAAGTGGCAAGCTCCTGAAGAAGAAGGATCCGAAGTTAGCCCAGGAATCAAAAGAGAAAAATATCGCAACCAGACTTACAGGGAAAGCATCTGCCACACTAGCAGCAACCCTCTCAACATCCTCTGCAATCGTCTCAACGCCTGCATCCCAAAGCCGTATATTCCTTCCCATGGTCCCCGTATTCCCAACCCCCGATATATCCGAGTCGAAGTAGATAATACCATCGATCTGATCAATGCTGCCCTTCAAACGACCTTGTTCCACCATCCGAGCGGCGTAATCCTCTGCCTTCTCGCCTGCCGAGGCATCGCTAGAATCTTTCAGGGCCAGGATCGCCCCAAGAGCGTCGGTCTTTATATTCTCGTAGAGCCTGCTGGCCGCCACAAGATTGTGCTCAATAACCGCTTTATCCAACACCGTCGATCCGTCGGCGGTTTTCGCAAGTTGGTGCGGCTGTAATTTTTGCGAGAAGGCGCTTACCTCCTCAGGTGTCAACAACCGGTCTAGATGCATTTTCTCCAGGATAGAAAAGACCTCAACAGAGGTTGCGCGGTCATCCTTGTAAAGTCGTGCCAACGTACGCGAGCGCTGCGGGCCCGCTGGTGCGAGCACGGCGCAGATGATTGCGGCGGAAAGAGCTTGAAGTCGATCGCTCTCGTCCACACCGGACGCTAAGCTGACATTAAAGTATTCCTGACTAGCGTCCAAGAAACGGCGACGAGCATCGAGAATGCGGGCTTGCGAGAGCTGAAAGTGCAATTTCAACTCCGGGTCCTCAATCTTGCTCGGTAAATTCTTGATTCGGTTGAGAAAGGACTCCGCGTTTGTGGTGTCGTCTTCTTCCAGGTACAGCCTAAGTATTCGAATCCACATCCGTGTCTTCGCCGCGTCGGTGATAAGCCGTTGAGAACTGTCGAGGTGAATGCCATGTAGCACGCGTGCGGCGGCACTATACTCTTCCTCTGCCTCGTACGCGTCTGCCAGTATTTCGCGGATATTTGAATCTTGTTCCTCGACGGATGCGGAACGAGATTGGAGAAGCGTTACTGCGTGTTGGCCGACTTTGATTTTGATGGCGGGAGGGAGATCGCGGAGCACGGTGATAAAGGAATCGAGGAGAGGGCGTGCGGCGACAATGCTGACATTCTCGCTGAGGATCGAGTCAAGATAGTATATCAGGTCTTGCGAAAGCTCGTGGCCTGATGAGCTCGAGACGACTTTGGCCAGGAGTTCGTTGTAGAGCTGTGATTTTGCCTGTTGGCTGCTTGATGCTTCGATCGCCGCCAGAGCGGAGGCGACTTTCTGAGAAGCCATATAAGGACAGCCAAAAGAGCAGTCTTGGGGCAGGCAAAATCGTGTCCTGGAGATCGATAGAGATGTAATAGTGAGGAGTTGTAGGCGGCTCGTTGTGTTGTGTTTGGTGTTGGTGTCTGGTTGCGGTTGCGGTTGTGGTGGGTTTGGCGGCGGATGACGCTCTCACTTATCGATAAGGCTCTAAATCTCCGCAATTGCAGGAAGATCAAAATCCAACAAGGTGGCTTGATACCGCAAAGCAGAAAAGGCAAGACTGTTTTGATAATTGGTCGAGAGAGAGTATTTCCTGACTGACTCGCGTGTTTTTTATACTACAGGAAGGGAAAAAAAACAGCCTAAGTTCGGGGCAATATCGGAGAGCACAACGTACCCAGCTTTACTATTCCACCACCAGATTTCGAAGTACTTACTTAACAGAGCTTCAGATTCAATTGTTCAGTCATAATTTAACTACTATCTAATCCTACACCCGTAGAAGCCAGAGGGCGCAGCTCTAGCATTAGCTAGCGTGGCTTGCATAGCCTTGGTTCACCGCCCGCGGAAGTGCTCCCCACCAGCAACTCTATCGCCTCCACGACTTGATGTTACCAACTCTCTCACGGATATCTCGCTGCTCGGTCGCACGACAACCAATTTGATCCTGTCGCCCATTCCCCCTTCTTGCTAAGTATCATCCACAGCTTCGTGCGACAGCATGGCCGCTCCCATCAAGCAAGAGCCAGGAGTTCCGACCTTCATCAAACCCGACCCAGACAGCAAAGAGGGTCTTTTGTCAGACGAGGACATTTACGAAGATACCGGAGACCTGGACTTTGCACAAGCAGGCCAAAATGTGTGGTTAACAAGGATTCCGGCAGACTTGTGGAAACATTGGTCACAGCTGGACGACGACGAGGAAATTCAGATCGGCACCGTCAGAGTCGAAGGCGAGCCTCATGACATCAAAAGAGTATGTCTAGGTCTGAGTGATAGGATCATGTTTGATGTTTCGCTTTCTAACACCACGCTCTTTCCGACAGATCAGTTTGCGTTTAAATGGTACCCCAGCCAGTCAAGATATCCCCAAAGATTATCTCCTCCAAAGACAGAATGTGGATCCCAAAAGCGGCTCATTTGCCGTTCAGAATAGTTTTATCTTCAGCGAAAAGGACTTGCCGGGCCATAAGAATAAAATTGATGAGATGTTTGGCGAGACGCGTTCCATGCTTTACGAGTCTATGAAGCGGGAGGCGCGAAAGAAGGCGACAAAGAGGAAATGGGAGCCTTATGTTCGAAAGACCATACCCAGTACGTTGCCCCCCTTTTCTTTCCAAGTCAGTTGTCAGTTGTGCTATCAGAATAACGGCTAAGTTGAAATAGAGCAAACGGCCCTCGTCGGGAAAGTCGCCGACGAGTTTAACTGCATGCCAGTCGAGAATGCCGAATACCAGCGTATATCTGAAGCCAAGGCCTTCAAGGCGCTGGAGCCAAGAGAAAAGGTCCAACTCATCGACCTCAGACAGCACAAGGGACCTAACGTCAGAGAAGTTGCGGCCGGAAACATAGGCGGTTTTGTGGTAAAGTTTTATTCGGTATTGGGGGTAGAGTTTACATTGCTAATATTCAGCAGCAACAAGCCAAGCAGCCAAAGCCTCGTGCTCAAGAGAACAAGGCCACCCGTCGCGAACGAAACGTACTTTTGGACGAGATCTTTGGATTGTTTCGCGAGTACTCTCACTGGAAATTCGCCGATATCAAAGCTAGGACAAACCAGCCTGAGCAGTATCTCAAGGAGACACTGGAAATGGTCGCCCATCTCGTGAGGACTGGGGATTTCGCCATGACGTGGGAGCTAAAGCCGGAAGCTAGAGAGACGAACTATGCAAATGCGATTCTTGCAGAAGAAGAGAACGCAGCCGGCTCGGATATTGACGATGTGCAATTTGAGAATGTTTGATTTCCTTTTTTTTTTTTTTCTTTCGTGTAATGCATGGAGGGGAGGCGTTTTGATACTTGTCATTTGGTGTTTTATGATTGCAAAGATTCTATCATATTTCTGGGCCTCGGCCAGAGCAAAGGCTTTCTGTACTATACAATATCATCCATTGATTAATATGGACTTGGTTAATTTTACCATCTTCTTGCTGCTACTCGGCATGAGGTTTGGTTTGATGGGGTCAGTCTCCAACAAAATACTTGATTTTCGACGAGCAATATTTGCTTCGTCCTGTAATAATTATAAATTTCAAACTTGTAGCTATATTTCTGGCGAAATCTGAAGGAAATTCGAGGTTGTTCCATTTCTCGACGTCGGCACGTGACATCATTCAAAGAGTGGCGGCATCTTTTTCTCAACGCATCCCAAGTTTCCCGCATCAAACCGCTCTATCACCAGTACGTCCGTCCGCCCGCCCATGATGACGGAAGAGCAAGAGCTCCTAGCGAAAATTGGCCAGCTGGCTGGTAAGTCGTTATTACTGACCATTTGATGCAACACAACTTTGTAGAACTCACCGTTTTTGACGCGCTCCCCAGGCCAAATCAACCAACACAAGAACCAGCGACTACAGAGCCAGTCCCCTGCGTCCACAAGCTACAACGCCCGCCATCCTCGTGCTGGATGGGCTCCGTACCGTGCCAGGGGCTCTCAGCGGCGTCCAGTATCGCATAGGAATCGTACATTGATTCTCAACAACAACTCGGCAGCATCTTCGTCGGATGCATCCAAAACGCCTGCTCTGTCCGATGCGACAGAAACCGTTACGCCACCGCCAGGTTCTAATGGCTGGGTCGCTAAGCGTGATCGTCATATGCAGCTAATCAACTCGTCCATCTACGACAAGGAAGCACAAGCGCGAACCAGGGCTATTGCTGAGACCGAGAAAACAAAGCGCGAGAAAAGGGCCCAGGCTGAAGAGGCCAAAGTCATGCGATATGCCCAGGGGGTTCGCAGTGCGCCTACCTCCCACATTCCTGGGCGTGATGCTGTTACGAATCAGCCCTCTTCATATCAGATCTACATACACGATGCACCTTTCCAGGTTGTGCGAGGTGGGAGCAAACTGATCAGACAATCGAGTGCGCATTTTCATACCTCATCTTATTTACGGGCAAAAGTGGCTTACATATTATAGACAATCCCAAAAACGCAAATGCTACGCCTAAGAAAGTTGTCGTCGGTGGCGTGACGTTTGTTCGCAGCAAGAAAGGCAACCTTCACCGTTTGGGCGCCGTGGTGGCTAAAAGGTGTGTAATGGGTGGAAGCATGGCTCTCAGTTGCACTACGACTCAAACTACATATAGGAAACCGAACAAAATAAAAAAGAAAGATGAATTATGCAAGCGATTCTCTCGAACGGGTACCGATTCTCTCCTCTTCCGAGCACTACATTTACGGAAATCTTTTTTTTTGCCCTCTCTCCAATGCCCAAGCTGTTGGGGGATACTTTTCATGGAATTATACTGGTCTTGTTGGGTTTGGTTTACTGACAATGTTATCTTGCCTCTCATCTAGGATCTTGTTACAAAGGACCCGCGTGTCCATACGTTCACGATGCGAATAAGGTGGCAATTTGCAAGGAGTTTCTCCAAACTGGTAAATGCCATCTGGGTGACAGCTGCGATTTGTCGCATGTGCCCTCACCCCATAGATCCCCTGTTTGTGTCCATTTTCTGCGAGGTCGCTGCTCAAATCCTGAATGTCGCTATACCCATGTCCGCGTCACGCCTGGAGCACCTGTCTGCCGTGCATTTGGAATATTGGGGTATTGTGAAAAGGGCGAAAATTGCCCAGACCGCCATGTCTACGAATGCCCTGACTATGCCAACACTGGAAGCTGCAAGAAAAAGAAATGCACCTTGCCACATATTGATCGCGCAGGGCAAATTCGCAAAGCTGCTGCTGCCACCACTACTAAGTCAGGGATGGCTCTTGCTGAGGGCGACGCAGACGAAGAGGATGTGTCTAGTGAAGAAGAAGAAGAGTATGATGAAATCGACTCGGACGATGTCGATTCTGACGAGCTTGACTCGGACGATGATGAGCCCATGGTCGAGTTTATTGAAGGCGGTACTGACGATAAAGAACTGTCGGGGCAGCAGGACTTTGTCCATTTTTGAGGCCCGCCTGACGCCTCCTTTTCTTGAATACTAACCAACTTGTACAGTGACAGGATTAGAGACGTAGATATCATCATCATCCATACAGCCATACAGCTATGCAGCCATTATGGTGTTTATTGTGCAGTGATCTTGGGAATTCTTGGGCGTTCATTCTTCTCTTCTATTCATTTCAGATACCGATACCCTTTTCTACCCTGAACCTATCGGGGTTGAGCTGAGCTATACTGTACCTTCATTTGCAACTACATACATAATAGGAGGATTACTTTAATGAAAATTCCATATTTTGCATTCATGGATTATCTTGCATAACTCTCAAGACTTGAATCCTAAAGTCTCCCTGGGAAGACAGTTCCCTCCCCTTCCCCTCCCCCTCTTTCTTCTGACTATGACTCACACCCAGCTACCTAGTTAACTAGCTATCTACGTATGTCTATCCTAATCAGGCCGAATGCATCACCCACGTAGCGACCTGGTACCTGACTAGACCGGATACTACTACAAGAGAGCAGCCGAAACAGGTACGTAGGTACAATATGCGTCCACGACGTCCACGGGCGTATACCTTAAAGTGGGGCGCAGGTATACTTGTCTGTCGGCAGTTTGTTGGATGTTGTTCATGGTAGTATTTGTTTCGGAATTTGAGTTGAGGTTGATTGCATTGCGTGGTTTGATGATGGGATGCGATGATATGAAATAGCATGATATCATATCATGATCGGAGAGGGGTGGGAGAGATTTCCGGTTTTGGAAGGGGTGGATTGATGGATGAATTATCGTTATGGAGTCGCTGAGATGCGTTGGTTTTGTTTTTGTTGGTCGTGAGTATTACCTAGGTACTACGAGGAACTGTAGATAGCATGTGCGTACACTGTAAGGTATAGTGATCGTATGTTGTAGTGGTTGTATATATGTATGCTACATGAAATTGGAGAAGGGTTGCCTGGGTAGGGCTACCTTTCTTCACTTAGGCAAGACGCATATATACGAGTATAGTGAACAAAATCCTCGAAATGAGTAAATATCAAGTACTGCCAAAAGAAAAAGGGCATTCGCTTCACGCGTGCGAGGGAAAAAAAAAAAAAAAACAAGGTGAGTCATTTTGGCGGTCAACCACTACTTAATTGGGCAGGATTCCAGATTACGACAGACAACATACCAAATATCCACCTAGCCCCAGTTCGTTGGATGGTAGGCCATGCTTAATTTTTTGAATCATATTAAAGGTCTATTAAGTAAATAACTGAAGAGATAAACACGCGTTGGTTGCATAATTTATACTGGATGATTCGTGCTTTGATATCAGGGTACCTACGTGTTGAATGGCATGGCATGGATTCTTGTTGCTCGTACCTAAATAGGCCATAATATTACGTAGGTAGTAAGACTGAATTGAAGCTCGCCGTCTGTGAATGATCCGCGTATATCCAAGACACAGTCGTCCGCGCTCTTCTTGATCGCATCCACCGCAAAGGATTTTCAAAGTGATCCACTGCCGTGAAACGGTTCAGATTCAAATCCGCGGATGCGCCGGTGCGCATTCCGTCGTCGAAAGGGCAAGTGACGTGGGTGATAGTCATTTGTCTTGGTTACTCTAGAGTGTATTTTTTTGGTTCCATGGTGTGAGAAACTCGAGTTGAATGGAATAGGGTTGTATCATGACACTCGGACACTGTGGCTTCGGAGGATATGTATGATAGAAGAACTAAAACTAGGGCTTATCTTAGCCCGACTCAATTTCCAGGATCAGATCCTATTCGAGACAAGGAAAAGAAAACCAGACCCTGAATCTTGGAGAAGGGGGGTGGTGGGATCCATGAACGCCTAACTGTCTTGTCGTTCTTGCCTCACTGCAGAAATAATCATGCCTTACCTAGGAATCAGACCGAGAGAGACACCTGAGGAAAGCGGTTGGATTGGAGGGGAAGTTCTGGTCGAACAGGAACTAGCGTGGATAAGGTAATGAATGGATGCTGATGGTTGTTTGTTTGTGTCCCAACGAGACGGTCAGACTTTCATTTTCTGGTACCGTTCGTTGGGGATTTACCTTCCCTATTGACGAGGAGCCGGAGAATTCGGGTGATGCATGCTTTCTCTATGTAGTACATATTGTAAGTGATGTGCCTTAAGAGCCAGTCGTTGTAGACCAAATACGGCAAGAAAGAATCGATGTGTGAGATTTAGATCTGGTCCACCCCGGCCGTTTCAATTGGCGATGTCCTCGGAGGGGTCGTATCACGATGTACTTGCCAGTACGGAGGAAGCAGAACTCATTGGCCACGCAGCGAGCGCAGCGGGGCATTCCCCGCTCGGCCCTCAGCGGGCCGGCCCTTCGCCTGATCCATGGTTTTGCTTTGCTTTGCTTTGCATTGCTTTGCTTTGCTCTGCATTCTGTGCATCGGTGACGAGGAGTAAGTATCACAGAGTAGGGAACGGTCTCTGATCAACTGTTTTGCAAAAATCTACTAAAAGTCTCCCGCTAAAACAGCAACGTCTCGTGTCCAATCATGCCATACACCATGATGCGACTAATAAGCTGCTAACGCCGTCACTACCGCTTAGTCAGGTAACTAACTATCTCTGGCCTATGGGATCGCCCAATAGCATGGCCTCGCTGTGTGGATGATTGGACCTAAACGACTCTCATCCACGGGCCTAAGTCGCGGGTACACATTCTCAAGGTCACTCGTTGCTTCCGGAGGAATATCAGCAGACATGCTGAGAATACTGAAAGAAAAGAGACATTCACACGGATATTGTCCGGTCACACTGTCCTGTCAGTTACCGCAGTGCTAATCAGTTTGCTTGACTGTATGCCGTAGCCGAATGCAATAACACCGCGATGCTTTGGACGAATATGGCGGGGCGTGTTATCCAGAACCTCGGATCGCGATAAGGCGTTGACTGTTGAGTATTTTGAACATCAGTAGAGACAATACGTCAGCCAGTAACTAGAAAGCCAACCGCGAATCCGTATATAGTGTGTCATGCTGCAACGGGGGATGAGCGACAAGACGAGGGCTCCAGAGAGATCATGCCCAAGTCTAGAACCCTTTCTCTCAGTTGAATCTTGCTCTGTTCCTTTTTGGGAGCCTAACGGGCACGGCGCGAGCGAGCACAAGTTCGAAAGGCCCTCTACGCACGATCATTTGCTGCGACTATAGTTAGGATGTATCATTAGGCAGCACGATTCAGGGCTAACTATCAGCGAGAGCGCTTAGCAGAAGCGAGAAGCAGTGCCAGGTCCAACTGTAGCTAGAGCGGTATTCGCCGTGCGTATGGGCATTACCAGCAGGCCCGCGGCATTGACTGGCCAGCGGCTCTCGGTGCAGGCTGATGGTCGGTAAGAATGGCCACCGCGTAAGAGCCGATACGCTGCTGCACGTCTGCCCAAAACGAAGGCGAAGCATCCAATGACCAGCGCGCCGCCAAACTCGGAAGATTGAGAGGGAGTCGCCTCGCTTTTGGCTCCCACAGACCGCCGTCGTCTCCCTCTGTGGCCGTTGCAAGTGGCTCTCGTCTTAGTCACTGCGCTGGCGAATAGCATGATCCCTCTCGCTGCTCCTGCAAAATCCCAAACTTCTACCTGATCGGTCGGTGCTGTGTCCCCGCGAGTCGCTGGTGTCTATCAGTCAGTGTGTGTTTGGGCCCAAACGTCTGTCTGTCTGTCTACTATATATCAGATGCGTTCTGTTCCCTCCGCGGTCAGTCCTCAGCAATCCAACTGCATACATACAGCTTGTTCAGAGGGGTCTGTGGATAGATAGACCTCTGTGAGATTTTATCCTCTTCTCTACTCTTTTCTTCTTCTTCCTCTTCTTCTTCGTCATCTTCTTCTCCTTGTCCTCGCTGTGCGCGTGCCTGTCCCACTCCCCGCACCAATCAGTCAACCCTCACCGCCTCTTCGACTTCTTTCCTCTACACGCACAAAAACTTCGCTCTCACACTCGTCATACATCCTCCTCCTCTTCTTCTTCATATCGTTTATTCTCTTCTAATCCTCGCCCTCGTTTTTTCCTCTCCGCTGCTGTCCATATTCTCCTTCCCGATTCCTCCTCCCGAGCATACGTTATGATGGCCCGATTTGCACAGCAGCCCTTTGAATTCTATCAACAATCGCCGTCGGCATTGGAGACAAAGCCCGCCTTCTCCGAAGAAGATGAGATGAGCGTGTTGGATGACAAGATTCTGGACGCCGGCTCGGACGTCGCGGCCATTTCCGATCCTCGACGGCCGTCGTATGATCAGCAACATACAGACGCTCTCACCTACCGAGAGCAAGTATGGGGTGACTTTGCCTCACAGCAGACACAGCAAGCACAGCAGCAGCAGTCACAACAACAACAGCAGCAGCAGCAGCAGCAACCGCAACAACAACATCAATCACATGCCACGGCTCCGCACCCTCATTCCCAGCAAGATTCGCATGTTGCATCAACAGCTACCATGTATGACTCGAGCAATCAATTCATACGATTAGACACTGCGCACACCAACGCCACCTACACGCAGCAGACTGCCTGGCCCATGTCCCGGGGCTCCGGCTCATGTACGCCAACCCCTGTATACGACCAGTTCTCGCAGGACTACGACGCCAGTTCTGCCGGTGCCTTTTCTGGCGGCGCCGTCGGCCCAGTCTCTGCCATCAACTTTGGTCAAATGTCCTATAGAGGCAACATGTTTGGTGCCCCCGGCAGCGTGGCCATGTCTCCGCAGTCAAGTCAAGGGTGGATGCAATCCGGCGATATGGTGGACGGACGACCAGCGCGGAGTCCGACATATCGTACCGATTCGAATTTCCATCTGCGCCGTGATGGCATTCGCAAGAAGAATGCGAGGTTTGAGATCCCTGCCGAGCGCACGCTTAGCAACATCGATCAATTGATTGCTCAGTCGACCAATGAGGAAGAGATTAAGGAACTCAAGCAGCAGAAGCGCCTCCTTCGGAATAGGCAAGCAGCGTATGTACCCTTCCCCCCCACCCCCCCCCCCAACTCCTTTTTGTTTTTTTTTTCTCTCCCCCTTTCTGGTTTAGAAAACCATCTGACCAAAACAGACTCGACTCTCGTCAGCGAAAAAAGCTTCATACCGAGAAGCTGGAAGAAGAGAAGAAGCAGTTTACCACCGTGATAAACGATCTCGAGGAAGCCCTGCACAGCATGAAGCTTCGCGAGGCCGAGCTGCTTCGAGAAAAAGGGGAATGGTTGACTACGCAACAACAGTTCCAGCAGTACATCGAAGCCCTCCACATGGAAAAGGACGAGCTCATTCGTTCCCACACCCTGGAGACTGCAGAACTGCGCAAGAAGAACAACATTCTCCGCGAGACCATGGAGAAGATGGAGCACCAGTTGAAGCCGACAGCGAACGCGCATTCAGCAACCTTCACAAACGAGTTTGGAGACTTTGAAAATATTACCATGGAAAATACTCCGTGGGAGGACTTTTCGCTGGTCAACAACATCTCTCTCGAGGCCGAGCCTATGGCTGCGTCAGTTGCTAACGGCAATGATAATAACATGCTCGTTCAGGTCAAGACTGAAAAGGTCGAGAAGGTCTTCAACAATCAGAACAGCGAATATCCATTCAGTTGGAATGCGTTCTACATGTGTCTCCTCTTTGGAGCGTTCATTGCGTCCAATAGCACTTCGCTATCTTCTCCCGCTGCTCTCCCCAAGCTCTCGGACGAATACCGCGCCGAGTCTGCGAATGTCCTCAAAGCTGTCCTTGCCTCTGCTCCCGCTGACATGGCAACTCCATCTGCCGCAGCTTCTTCTGCTCACGGCGTCGCCTCTCACCTCCCTGCAACCATCTCCGGTGCTGAAATGGCCCGCATGAGCTCCGGAGGAATCGCGAATGTCGCGCCGTCTTCCGCCCTGGACGAACTGCACAACAATCTGGCGCTTCCCAGCAAACAGCAGGAGAACGAGCAAGTGTTTGCACTCAACCCAGGACAATACAATGCGTTGACCACCTTCCAAGAAGACGACAGCATGGACTTCAAGCCTCCTCAACAGCCATCCAATCTACAGCAGGCCTTTGCAGCGATGCGCAACAGCAACCACAACGGCGCACAAAAGGGACCTCTCGGTGTAGACGGCAGAATGTCGGATGTCTACTCGCGGTCTTTGATGTGGGATCGAGTTCCAGAGAAAGTGGTGCGCGATTTCCAGCGAATGGTCCGAGAATGCGGTGCTGCTTCCAAGTAAAGCTATTCTTCTTCTGCTCTCAATGATTGACGTCGGGTGAAATAAAAGAACAAGACTCGGCTGGCCTAGTCTTTTTCTCTTTTCTCGCTCAAATCATTGACATCCTTCTTCACTTTCTCACCAATCAATCGATCAATCAAAGCGGACGGCACGCTTTACAAAAGAATAGCTGGTGGCTCGACGCCTTCCACCTCAACCCATTTTCCTCTCTTTCCTTTGTTCATGTTGAATGGATTATGATTATGAATCTTCCATGATAACTCTTTTTGGGGTCTTCTGTTTGCAATAAGGAATTTTTTTTTTTTTTTGAATCTGCACTTTAGCGAGCGTTGTTTATCTGCTTTCTTGGTCTTTGGCGTTTTGATTCACAGAAGCGAGCGAGCGAGCGAATCCGTCTTGATGTTTTGTTTATTATGGTCTGAATTTCTTTTTTTTTTTTGTGTGTGTTTCTAAGCATGGATGGCATTTTGTTTGGTCTTTTTTAAACGGTCCCCGTTTTGTTTGCCTTTGTCTTTATTCTTGTACATTTTTTGGTTCTGCTTATTTCTTTTCTTATTGGAATGTAACTAACCCTCCCCCCTCGCCTCCCCCTTTCTTTTCTTCTCTCATCCTTGCTGTCACCACCTTGAAAGCGAGGCGAGAAGACAGAAAAAAAAAAGGGATCCCGAAAAAAAAAAGAAAGACCAAGAACTCGAGCAATCGACTCCTTACCTCACTTACCCTTGACATACCGACAGTTTGTGCACTCCTATATATCTTATCTTGTTTCATTCTTGGATTTTATTTGATCTTTTGTACTTATTGTTTTTTTTTTTGGCCTGGTTTTCATGTATATGTGTTTGTTATAGCAGAACGAAGAAGGGGAGATTTCCCTCGTCTGTCATTTGGCTTTGTGCGTCTTCTACGATATGACGACGATGATGATTGAATGAAGGATGTGGATGGAATGTGAATATGAATTGCATATGATTGATTACCTATCTATATATCTAACTGTCTATGAGAATCTATTGATCATTGACTTGCCTATCGTTATTGTTGATATGGAATGTTCCGTGTAAACCTGGTAAATGCTCGAGGCTTGCTTGATTCTGGTAACGCTTGGGATTCAGTAATTACACTAGGATTGTTCCTCGGAATTATCCAGGCGTCACAGAGCTAAGATGTCTCGTCTAATCAACTCAGATGCTTTTGCATAAGCTCCATTGGCAGGGTTCGTATATTACTTCGAACCATGACGACGGCCAAGTGAGAAGTCGATCAGGGATTCGATTCTTGCCCTGAAGGCAAGTTTGCTTGATGTAGCCTCGCTAAACCATGTTGGTACATCTGAGCTTCTTCTAGAACCAGCACGGACTAGTTCGTACCATATATCTCAAAGCCTGATAAACGCATAATACTGAGCCTATAACTTATAAGTCAGTATTACTATTTAGGGCAATATGCTATATTACAACGCTATACCATGTTAGGCACTAGCGTATCCTTACCCTATTTAGTGCACAGTTGTCTTGCTTGCATACTCAGTGCTGCATTGGAGGAAAGTTATACCTGTGTAATTAAATCTATTAATCAACCTATTTATCGGGAAAATCTTTTCAAACTAGAAAGAAGAAACGCAACACAACAAATACATCACCTCCCCCCCCCCCCCC